ATACTCGGAAGGCTGAGCCGGAAGGATCGCCGGAGCCCAGCAGGTCGAGGCTGCGGTGGCCGGAAGCGGCCACTGCACTCCAGTGTGGGCGACAGAGTGAGACTCCAACTCAAAAAAAAAAAAAAAAAAAAAAAAGAATATGAACATAGCCTAGAAAATTGGCATAAAGCAAGAAGCTGCTAATCTAAGCAGAGGCTGCTGTCTTCCCCATCATGTGGGCTGTATACTGTTGGCTTGACCTTGTCATCTTTTCTGAACATTTAGAGGCTAGTCTATGTGAAAAGCTTTGTTAAGAATTTCCCAAGAACCAGATAAATATAATCTCACAGAATGGGAAACGTTTGATAATATTTGTGCAACTTACTGATACATTTTCAAATGTGCTGACGTTCGTCATTCTCAAATAGGCTTTCACAGTGTTTCTAGCTCTTCCAATATCCTAAGTGAGATCCAGTCGCTACTTTTCACTAATGTCCCTGAGAAGAGAGAACACCATCGAAAGCTTCTTACTGAAGAGGTGGGCTGTGTTATGCAGTGAAGTATGGACTCCGAAGTCAGGTGCCAGCCAGCTCGACTCTTTGTTGTTCTGTCTCCCAGCTGTGAAACCTTAAGCACATGACTTAATTTCTGTGTACCCCCCCATCCCCCCTCGATAAAATGAGAATAATAGTATCTATGCCACCGGGTTATTGTAAGGACTGTATGTGATTTTTTTCCTTTTCTTTTTGAGTCAGGGTCTCATTCTGTTGCCCAGGCTGGAATGCAGTGGCACCATCACAGCTCACTGCAGATTTGACCTCCTGGGCTCAGGCCGTCCTTCTACTACAGCCTCCTGTATAGTTGGGACTACAGGTGCATGCTAATCTGGCTAGTTTGGGTTTATTTTTATTTTTATTTTTATTTTTGAGTTGAAGTCTCACTCTGTCGCCCAGACTGGAGTGCAGTGGCTGTTCCCGGCCACTGCAGCTGCGACCTGCTGGGCTCCGGCGATCCTTCCACCTCAGCCTTCCAAGTAGCCGGAACTACAGGCACGCACTACCATGCCCGGCTAATTTTTTTTATTTATTGTAGAGGTGAGGTCTCGCCAAGTCGCCCAGGCGGGTCTCGAACCCGCAGGCTTAGGCAATCTACTCACCTCAGTCTCCCAAAGTGTGGGATTATAGGCTGGGCCACCGAGCCCGGCTTGTTTTATTTTATTTTATTTATTTATTTATTTTTTTGAGTTGGAGTCTCACTCGGTCCCCCAGACTGGAGTGCAGTGGCCGCTCCCGGCCACCGCAGCCTCGCCTGCTGGGCTTCGGCGATCCTTCCGCCTCAGCCTTCCGAGTAGCCAGAATTACAGGCATGCGCTACCACGCCCGGCTGATTTTTTGATTTATCGTAGAGATGAGGTCTCACTGCCCAGGTGGGTCTCGAACCCGCGGGCTCAGGCAATCTACTCACCTCAGCCTCCCAAAGGCGCGGGATTACAGGCTGAGCCACCGAGCCCGGCTTGTTTTATTTTTTGAAGAGACAGTCTTTTATGTTGCTTAGGCTGGTCTGGAACTCCTGGACTCCAGCAATCCTTTTGCCTTGGCCTCTCAAAATGCTGAAATTACAGGTGTGATGCTGTATGCCTGGCCTTATATGTGATTATATATGCAAAGTGCTTTGAACAGTGCCTGGTATGGAATAAGAATTCTAATGTTTCCTAAATAGTCACAATGTAAGTAGAAGCTGGGCATGGTGATGCATGCGTGTAGTTCCAGCTACTCAGGAGGGTGAGGTGGGAGGATCATTGGAGCCCAGGAGTTCTAGGCTATTGTGACCTGTGATTATGCCACTGTATTATGGACAACAGATTGAGACCCCATCCCCATCTCTCTCTCTTTTTTTTTTTTGAGTCAGATTCTTACTCTGTTGTCCAGGATGGAGTGCAGTGGCACGATCATGGCTACCACAGCTTCCACCTGCTGGCTTCAGTGATCCTTCCACCTCAGCCTTCCACGTAGCTGGAACTACAAGCATGCGCTACCACACCCAGTTAATTTTTTTATTTATTGTAGAGATGAGGTCTCACCATGTTGCCCAGGCTGGTCTCGAAGCGTGGGCTCAGGCAATCCTCTCACCTCCACCTCGCAAGGTGCTGGGATTACAGGTGTGAGCCACTGCGCCTGGCAAGACCCCAACTCTTTTTTATTTTTTTATTTTTTTGAGTTGAAGTCTCACTCTGTCGCCCAGACTGGAGTACAGTGGCTGCTCCTGGCCACCGCAGCCTCGACCTGCTCTGGCGATCCTTCCACCTCAGCCTTCCAAGTAGCTGGAACTACAGGCGTGTGCTACCACACCCGGCTAATTTTTATTTATTTATTTATTTATTGTAGAGATGAGGTCTCGCCAAGTTGCCCAGGTGGGTCTCGAACCCGCGGGCTCAGGCAATCCACTCACTCAGCCTCACAAGGCGCGGGATTACAGGCTGAGCCACCAAGTCTGGCCTTTTTTTTTTTTTTTTTTTGAGTTGGAGTCTTACTCTGTCGCCTAGGCTGGAGTGCAGTGGCATGCTCACAGCCACTGCAGCCTCAACCAGCTGGGCTCAGGCGATCCTCCTGCCTCAGCCTTCCAAGTAGGTGGAACTACAGGCACAAGCCACCACACCTGGCTAATTTTTTATTTACTTATTGTAGAGACGACATCTCGCCATGTTGCCCAGGCTCGGTTCAAACCCCGGGACTCAGGCAATCCTCTGGCCTCCACCTCCCAATGTGCTGGAATTAGGTGTCAGCTACCGCACCCGGCTCCAAAATTTCAGTGTAGTATTGGCAGAAATATTTTGAGACATTTGCAGCAACTTAATGTATATTATCTATGATCCACAATTTTTATTGATGACAATGTCATCGGCTCTGATAATATTACTGAGGTCTATGTTCATTATTGAAGGAAATGCTAGATTTCATTTAGAGTTTAGTGGAAATAAAGTTGTAATTATTTTTCTCATCCAAGTTCATAGAGTCTCTGTATTCTGTCCAGTACCCCTTGAAGACCTGTGGATGTGAAGAAGATAAGAACCTCTGGCCTCTGCTACTGAGAATGCTAAGGCAGAAGGATCTCCTGAGCCCAGCAGTTGAGGCTGTGCTGGCCATGAGCATGCCACTGTAGTCTAGCCTGGGTGACAAACAGTGAGACTCCAACTCAAAAAAAAAACAAAAAACCTCTGACCTTAGGCTGTGCACAGTAGCTCATGCCTGTAATCCTGGGAGGCTGAGGCAGGTAGACTGCTTAAACCCAGGGATTTGAGACCAGCTTGGGCAACATAGTGAGACCTCATCTCTTAAAAAAAAAAAAAGAATCTCTGGCCTTGAATGAGGAGGAATGGAGAAACAAAACCTTCCAAATGATAGGGCATTCGCATGACTGATTGTCCCCTGCACTTCTGTTGTGTTTGTGGATTTTTGAAGTTTGTATCATATAAGTGGAAGGGAAGTAAAATACATTGTGGTGACTCTTTTGTCTCTGTTCCCATTTAGGTTTCTTTCTTTACCCAAAGAAACTCGAGCAGGCTTCCCCTTGCCTACAAAAGTTTCTCTACTTTAACCTGTCTTCCATCAAAGGAAAGGACCAGTTAACAATGGCCCTGCTGGGCCTGGACCTGGGGCCCAGTTCTTACTATAACCTGGGGCCAGACCTGGAATTGTTCCTGTCCCTGATTCAGGAGCCTCATGGGCGGGGCCAGTCCATCCCCAAGCCAGGCAAAATGTTTGCATTGCAATCGGTGCCATGGCCGCAAGGTGTCCTTCACTTCAACCTGCTGGACGTGGCTAAGAATTGGCATAACAATCCCCGGAAGAACTTGGGGTTATTCCTGGAGATTCTGCTCAAAGAAGACAGAGAGTCTGGGGTGCGCTACCCGCTTGAAGACACCTGCGCCAGACTGAGACGTTCCGTTCATGCTTCCTTGCTGGCAGTGACCCTCGACCCTGAGCAGTGCCACCCTTCTTCCCGGAAGAGGAGGGCAACCATCCCTGCCCCCAAGGCTGCATGCAAGAGCCTCTGCCACCGTCACCAGCTGTTCATTAACTTCCGGGACCTGGGTTGGCACAAGTGGATCATTGCCCCCAAGGGATTTATGGCAAATTACTGCCACGGAGATTGTCCTTTCTCACTGACCATCTCGCTCAACAGCTCCAACTACGCTTTCATGCAAGCCCTGATGCATGCCGCGGACCCAGAGGTCCCCCAGGCCAGCTGCGTCCCCACCAAGCTGTCGCCCATCTCCATGCTCTACCAGGACAATAATGACAATGTCATCCTCCGACACTATGAAGACATGGTAGTCAACGAATGTGGATGTGGGTAGGCCGTCAGAAATCGGAGTGGAAAGTGTTCTTAGGATACGTCGTTGAAAAATTTTTTTTTTCTGTTAACTTACATAGAGAAGTATCCATTTTCCAATAAAATCACCTCTCTGCTTTATGAATTCTTGGATCTGAAAGGTCAAGCAATATAATTATGTTTGTAGTTCATCTTCCTGGAAGATCCATCATGAGGAACAATGCTTGAGCCGGGCTCGGTGGCTCAACCTGTAATCGTGTGCTTTGGGAGGCTGAGGTGAGTGGATGGCCTGAGCCCGCGGGTTCGAGACCCGGCTGGGCAACTTGGCCAGACCTAATCTCTACAGTAAATCAAAAATTAGCCAGGCGTGGTAGCGTGCACCTGTAGTTCCAGCTCTTTGGACGGCTGAGGCGGAAGGATCGCCGGAGCCCAGCAGGTCGAGGCTGCGGTGGCCAGGAGTGGCCACTGTACTCCAGTCTGAGCGACAGAGTGAGACTCCAACTCAAAAAAAAAAAAAAGTTAGCTGGGCATGGTGGTGCATACCTATGGTTCTAGCTACTTAGAAGGCTAAGGAGGAGGGACCACCTGAGCCCAGCAGGTTGAGGCTCCGGTGGTCGTAAGTGTGCCACTGTACTCCAGCCTAGGTGACAGAGTGAGACTCTGACTCAAAATAGTAATAATAATAATAAAGTAAAGTAATGAAAAGTATTGTTTTTGAATCAGAGTCTCAGTCACCGAGGCTGGAATGCAGTGGCACCATCATGGCTACTGCAGCCTTGACCTGCTAGGCTCAAGCTATACTTCAGCCCTGCCTCAGTCTTCCAAGTAACTGGAACTACAGGCTTGGACCAACACACCCAGCTTTTTTATTTATTGTAGACATGAGGTCTCATCAAGTTGCTAGGGCTGGTCTCGAACTCTTGAGCTAAGCAATTCTCTCGCCTCAGCCTTTCAAAGTGCTGAGGTTATAGGTGTGAGCCACGTGCCTGGCCTCAAATGATGATTATTTTTTAAATATAGGGGCAAGATCTCGCTATGCTTCCCAGGGTGAACTTGAACTCCTGGTCTCAAGTGATCCTCCCATCTCCGTCTCCTAAAGTGCTGGGATTACCATGCCTGGCCTATGGGCCAGCATTTTATGTGTTACTTGACAAACACTATTTCAGTGTTGTTTGAGGTAGACATCTTAATGAACATTTTGTAGGTGCAGAAGCTGAGATTTTTGAGAACGACATAACAAATTTTCCTAAGGTCACTGGCTTTCCCTGTCAGACCTCATATACCAATAGCTTAATTTTTTTTTTTTTTTTTTTTGAGTTGGAGTATCACTCTGTCACCCAGACTGGTGTGCAGTGGCCGCTCCTGGCCACCGCAACCTCGACCTGCTGAACTCAGATGGTCCTTCTGCCTCAGCCTTCCAAGTAGCCAAACTACTACAGAAGTGTGCCACCACATCTGGCTAATTTTTTTGATTTATTGTAGAGGCGAGGTCTCACCAAGTTGCCCAGGCTGGTCTTGAACCCCTGGGCTCAGGCAAACCTCTTGATTCAGCCTCCCAAAGTGCTGGAATTACAGACTTGAGCCACCATGTCCAGCCAAGAAAAAATTTGTTTGTTTAATTTTGTTTTCTTTTTTCATAGAGATAGGGTTTTAATATTCTGCCCAGGTTCCTCTCGAACTCCTGGGCTCAAGCAATCATCCTACTTAGCCTCCCAAAGTGCTGAGATTATAGGCATGAGCCACTGTACCTGGCTTAATTTTTTTTTTTTTTTGTCAGGGTCTCCTTCTGTCACCCTCACTGGAGTACAGTGACATCACCGTTTGCCACAGCTTTGACCTCCTGGGCTCAGGTGATCCTTCGACCTCAGCCTCATGAGTAGTTGAGACTACAGTTGGGTGCCACCGTATCCGACTGATTTTTAAATTTTTTGTAGAAACGAGGTCTCGCTATGCTGTCTGGATTGTTCTTAAACTCCTGGGCTTAAGCCGGGCTCGGTGGCTCAGCCTGTAATCCCATCACTTTGGGAGGCTGAGGTGAGTAGATT